AGATCTTTGTGAAAAAGGGTTTCCAGCTTGCTGGTTATCAAGTCTAAATACAGAAGTAGACTTGTTGTGGAAGATGAACTTCATTGTGCTCTTGCAAAGACTGCCCTAAGAATTTATGATCTGGTGAGAAAGAAGCTATCTCAATCTTCCCACTGTATGTGATGCATACTGTGGCAAAATGTAGCAATGTAGTTTACTGTAGTTATATTAAGACTGTTATCCATGCTACACTATGCTTCAAGACAAAATTTCACTTATATGTAATTAGAAATAAATATTTCACAATATATAATCACATTGTTTTTGTGCTGAATCACTATGCTTTAATTATATTCAATTTGTAACAATGAAAATACATCCTGCATATCAGATATTTACATGATGATTTTTAACAGTAGCAAAATTACAGTTATGAAGTAGCAACGAAAACAATTTTATGGCTGGGGGTCACCACAACATTAGGAACTGTATGAAAGGGTTGAGGCATTCAGAAGGTTGAGAACCGCTGGTCTAGAGTGTTACAGAGTAGCAAGGTTGCTCCCTATGATACTTAATTACAAAAGAAGGTGCATAACTCTTCAATGGGGAGGGGGGGACAGGACACCACCTTAACCAAGTCACCAAGGCACTTGGCTGTGGAAGGCTGCAATCTTCAGCAGGCACCTTACCTCCTGGGTTTTGGACATAAGTTCAAGCCTTTCTGGTTCTTTGTTACTTCTTCAACGCCTATGGGCCATTAAACCAGCAACATGGCTATTGGAACTGTGGTTGAAAGTAGGCTAATATGCAGAAGGTGCTCACACAAAAGACTAGGGAACTTGTCAAGATAATTACCCAAAAAAAGTAGCCAATCAGACATTGTGTAATTTAACAATCTGGGGTCCTGGTATTAACTTGTGCTTTGACTCAGGGTTACAGGGACCACAAAGCCCCAGAACCATCTTATGACCTATTAACCTGTGATTGTACACTCATCCCAGTCATGCCCCCTACCCTTCTGTATTACCACCTGTAACAGTAGTGGATTGACCAGCAACCAATCACAATCTTATACTGATTTCCTTTGTTTTCTTTTTCTCTTTTAATCATTTTATTAGGGGCTCATACAACTGTTATCACAATCCATACATACATCAATTGTGTAAAGCACATTTGTACATTCATTGCCCTCATCATTCTCAAAACATTTGCTCTCTACCTATTCCTTTGTATTTTTATGGTGTAAAATGAACACAGGATTGTGAGTCGGTGGGCTCCGTCAGCTTCTGTGCTGTGCGCATGCTGACATATCCCTCTTCCGGGATGACAGTCTTTGTTTTATCTTTGTCCTATTTAAGGTTTAATAAAAGGGTTTCCACAGAACAATAGGTTCAAACATGACAATTGAGGCACAGACCCAGCAATGTTTTGCTCTGTTGTACATGAAGTTGCTACGAGGGTCTTTTGTCCCTCGCATAGATAACATGTGGGGAGCCTGCTGAAGGGTATACAGAATTTCTAAGTTTTTCAATTTCTTAGTAAGTGCAGTCATTTCAAAACAAAAAAAGTTTAGAAGAGGGGGAGAGGAGGTCTGGAAATGTTGAATCTGGGCCCTCCCAGGGAGGTGCCTGGAACCTTTTCCTTACTCCCCTCCTACCCTCGGCTGTTCACTTGGCCTTTCCAGTCATCAGTACCAGGGGCCTCATGGTAGACTGTCCAGAGGGTCTGGCTCCTGGACTCAGTAAGGAGATGCCAGTCTCCCTATGACTGGGACAGCTGCTGGCCTTGGTTCAGCACCAGAGTCCTTTGGAAATCAAAACACCATTTTAGCCAGAGTGGCATTTAGGGGGTCTCCTGGCAAACCCCAGACCTTGGTCCTACCCAGTAGTCAGTTTTCACATAGCTAAGAGCTCACCGCATTGTGGCAAAGTGCTGTCATGGGCTCTGGCATCAGTCCGAGATGACTGAACTAGAAATTGGACTTGAATGAGCTCAGGGCAAGTAGAGTATGGACCTCAACCCCTGGGATCCCAGGTTCAGGGTAGGCATTTGGAGGCCCTCTCTTACACTGGCCAAGTGTTAGAGGGTCTCACATGACCTCTGCTGAGCACTAAACCCTCTTCCTTCTCAACAGCCGACTCCAGCTGGGCCTTCTCAGGCCATGTAAAGATGGGGTAGGTGGGACCTGCAGCCCTGGGCAAAAATTGCTGGTCTGTCAGGACCAGACATGCCTCCTCACCCTTCCCACTTCAGGCCCAGGTCTGACACCCTCCTCTGCTCAAGTTTATTGTTTTTTAAATTAATGCATTCACCAAATAGTGAACACATTAAAGTTCAAGTTGCCGAAGCCAATGCACAAATTCTTTCATCTTTCTAACAATCGGTGCAACCAAAATACCACTTGTTGAGGGGTGGGGGGCAGGGGAGGCTCACCATGGTGAACAGGTGCCTGGCCATGAGCCAGTGGTTGGCAGTACGCGGTTTACTCACTCAGCAGCCACTTCTGCTATGAAGGGGAGAGCGGAAGCATGGCTGGGACTTGCTCTGTGCGACAGACCCCTCTGCATCTTCTCTGTGGGTCGCCTGCAGTAGATTCCCACTCAGGGGTAACTGGCTCCAAGATGTTTCAAGGCTGTGATGCCCTCTGGGAAGCAGGTCACCAGACCTCCTGAGGAACCTTGGAATGCCAACCATTCCATCCAGCTTGCTTACCACCCTGGGGCACCCCTCCTTCAGTATGGTATTTTGGTTGCACCTCTGAAAGATTAAAGAATGCATACATTGGCTTGGAAAATGTGGACTTCATTTTCAATGTGTTCTTTTTTGGGGGGAATGAAAAAAAACAAAAAACCAGAGCAGAGTTGGGTGTCAGGCTTGGAGCCTGAAGGGGGAAGGGGGAGGAGGTATGTGTGGTCCAGACAGAGCAGCAATTTTTGCTCGGGGTTGCAGGTCCCACCCCATCTTTACATGGCCTGAAAAGGCCCAGCTGGAGTCTTGTTGAGAAGGGAGTCAAGTGTTCAGCAGAGGTAAAGTGAGACCCCTTGATGCTTGGCCAGTTTGGGAGAGAGGCCCCCAAGTGCCTGCCCTGAACCTGGGATCCCAGGGGCTAAGGCACACACTCTCCTTGCCCCAAGCTCACTGTGATGGAGTTTATTCCAATGCAAGGGGCCCTGGTGATGGGGTGGTTTTGCGTTGGGTTGCTAACTGCAAGATCAGCCGTTCAAAACCACCAGCCACACTGTGAGAGAAAGATGAGACTTTCTATTCCAGTAAGAGTCTGGGAAATTCACAAGGGCAGTTCTACCCTGTCCTGTAGAGTTGCTGAGTCTCCTTGCCTCGTGGATCTCAAAACCACCCTTCTCCCCATCCCCTCATTTCCTGGTTCCCCCAGGAGCACAAGCCTGGCCGTTCCCCCTCCAGGTGGTCCTCCAGGAGCTGCCCACTGGCACCTGGAGAAGCCTCTGGCTTCCCGGGCAGGTACAAGAGGCCCTGATGAGCAGGGTGGCCCATGCATGAGCAAAGACTGATGGGTAGAGTGATCTGGCTTCGGCCACAGAGTTCAAGAGAGTGCAAGGAGAAAGTAGATGGATTCTTGCATGGAGTCTGTGCCCACAGAATGAGTTCCTGCTGACAGGGAGATCCCCCGCCCCCCATCCCCCCGGGGCTACTAGGACAGCAGGCACATATGGGAGAACTGACCTGTGGCACAAAAGTGTTCTACTGGTCAGCAGTCACACACGGGAAGGACCCTGAAACGCAGGGATTTGGCACAACCTCAAACTTTTATTATCGGCAGCCCGTGTTTCAGTGCCCACTCCAAGGAAGGTCGGATGCCAGTACAGGTCAGCTGGCCAAGGGGAATGGTACAGACCATCTGCCACCTGGGTCGTTGGTGAGAAAAGCCTACCTCAGAACACATGACTTGACTGCCACTTGGACCAGGAAGCACCTGAGTGAGAAGTGGGCGGGGGGCTTGGGGCACGCAGAACTGACCACCCGCCCAGCATATATAGGACCAGGGAACCACCCAGAATACAGGCCCACAGGAACCCCCAGCACCCCCAGCCAGGCCCGACTGTGGTGGTGCGTGAGCTTCTCTCGGGTCTTCCTGGCACCATACATGGCCTGTCTCCTCTCTTAGCAGGGCTGGTTGTCATCAACAGAGTCAGAGGTGTGTCCAGAGAGGCTGGGAGGAAGCACTACCCTTTGACAAACGTCGTCTTCTGTCATCTTGACAAAGCCAAGGTCCACTGGCCAGCACATGTGGGACGAGAGACAGGCCTCTACCTCATCTGTGTGTGTGTGTGTGTGTGTGTGTGTGTGTGTGTGTGCCTGTACCTGAGTGAATGTGTGCCCACACATATGCATACATGTATACTGTGTGTGAGGGTATGATGTGTGTTGGCATGTGTGCCTTGTGTGTATAAGTGTATGTGGGATGTGTGTACATATGTGCCTTTTATATATCATTTGTGCCCATAAATGTATATACATGTGAGTGTGAGCATTTGCAAATGTGTATCTTATGTCTGCAAGTGTGCGCACATGTGTGTGTATGCTCTATGTGCAAATGTATTGTATATGTGTAAAGGCACGTGCCTGTGTGAGCATGGGTACCTGTGTGTACAAGTGTGTGTATAACTATGAGTTGTATGGGTGATATGCATGTGTCTGGGGGCTGGTCATGTACATTTACCTATGCAAAACACACCTAGGACCTGGTGTCAGACATGGTCCCCCCAGGCTGGGCATGGACACAGATCACAGCCCTGATCCCTGGGATGCTGTCTGAGTCTCCCATTTGTGCAATGTGGGTGTGGAGGGTCCTGTCTGTGCCAGCCCCATGTGGGAGTGGGGTTAGCTCTGTAGCCTGAACTCGTGGGTACTGGTCTCCCAGCGGGTGGGGTCCTCGTCCAGCATGCTGCGCTCTGCAAAGGTCACCTGGCCATCTGTATCCACAAGGATGATGGTGTTGGTTCTGAAAGAGAGTGCAGGACCAAGTTGCTGACTGCCCGGGGTCCACCCTGCCCCTCAGATGGCTCCTTTGGGGATGTAGAAGGACTCATTTGAGGGCTTCTGGGCTGCCAGCCAGGTGATCTAACTGCCCCTCCCCTCCCAGGTTCCCACTGAAGCCCCACCCTTCTCTGAGCCCATTATCTCCGCCTTGGACCTTCCCCAGCACCAGCCCCCACCAGCCCCGCTTGCCTTGAGGCATCTGGGATGCTAGCTGTCTCTGGCCAATGGGCTCATGGGCCATGGGAAAACTAGCTCCTCTGCCCAGAATGCTGTGCTGAATCAGCTGCGGCCAGCCCTGCCCGCCATCCATCCACCCAACTAGGACCCCAATCAAGTCTGCAAGCAGGTCTTGCTCTCCTGAGAGGCTGGGTTCTCCCTCCTCAATCACCTGTCCCTCACTGCCCAACACCACCGACAACTGATCTCAATTGGCCCTGCCCTTCCCAACACAGCACTGAGCTGCTAACCACAAGGTCAGTGGTTCAGACCTCCCCCCAGAAGCCCCTTGGAACAGCTCCACTGTCTTCGAGAGCTGCTGTGAGTTGGAATCAGCTCAACAGCAGTGGGTTGGGTTTTGTTTCTCTGGTCTGAGCTGTCACACATGGGGTGACCAGACCACCCCTGGACAGACTGAAGGGCCAACCAGTTCAAACCCAGTGCTCAGCACCAGCCGGGCGCAGACACATTGAGGCCATAAGTGCAGGTGAATTAGTTCTGGAAAGAAACCAAATCACCCAGATGGAAGTCCATGGCCTGCCTTCCCCCTCCCACCCCCCCCCACCCACTTCAAGGTGAAGAAAGCGTCAGCAATTAATCTAGTTGCCTGGCCTTGCTGCTGCCCACTGCCCCCCACCCCCCACCCCCCAGTAGACTCTGGAAATCAAATCCTCTGGCTGCATTCCCAATAGCCCCTGGCTCTCCTGGGTCTCCAGGCCTTCTGGTTCTATCCCCCTGCCTCCTGAGGGTGCTGAGCTAGACACTGGTCACCAGGCCTTGGCCTACTGTCAGCAGGTAGAATGAGGCTGCCCTGCACTGCCTATGAGCACCACCACTTCCCCCTCCCCCCCACAGCCTCATGGCAGTGGGGTTGGGGAAACAGACTGGTTAACCAAGTGTGGGGGTGGACACGGTAGTAGAAATGGCTGGTACCTGTCACTTCCCACTGGACCCTGACTACATGACAGACTCCCCCATGGGGCCCAGGGGGTGAGGGGGACCAGCACTTTCCAGCTGCTGGCACTGGAGCGCCCATGGGACTACACTGTCCTGGGCCCAGGGCAGCAGCAGGGTCTGAAGGTGTAGGCTCCAGGCTGGAGCCTGCGAAGGCCCTCCCAGCAAGGCCCCCTGCCTGAGGCACTATGGCTGCAGCCTCTGGAGCCTCCTATGGTGCTGGATCCTTGGAGGCATCTTCTGCCCACTCAGGCCTGCCCACCCTGGGCCAGCACTTCCCCTCCCTCTTTGCCCCGCAGCACAAGTTGTCAGAACCACTGTGCCCCACAATGTGGACCCAGCATTGCTAAGGGATTGTAGCCATAATGTTGCCTGAGCAAAGACATTATCTCATGCTCGACCACCGGCCTGTTGACCAGGTGCCTCCTCCCCCCACCTGCCCTGGGCACTGCTGGCACCTGATGGTGGGCTGGCAAGGGCCAGAGGAGATGGGGACTTGAGGTCCCACCAGCTGCTCATGACCACACAAACCAGCACAGCAACCCCTCTAACCTCACTAGGGGTTCTTGCCTATCTCTCCTCAGGCCTGGGCTAGTCCAACAACTCCACCCTCACCCATATATTACAGACCCCATTGAGCACATAAGAGAGGGGAGAAGGGAGGGTGTGCCCACAACCTGCTCTGAAGACCGCATCCCGCCCCCACCTGATAGTAAAGCCAACTCCAACGGCTCCTGGGCTGACGCTGCCTCCCAAGCTGAACTGACCAAGTCCTGGTCCTTGTCCCACAGAGGACAGGCCAGATCCAAAGACTCAGGTGAGCAAGCAAGGGGGAGCCTCTCCCTGTCCCCATCACAATCACAGGTATTGTCAACATGAGCATCCCTTGTGCCCCCTGCCCATCTCATGCACCCCCCCGAGTGGCTGGACATTGGTTCCTCTCCTAGACATCCCTCCCCGACCCCCAAGAAGGCTCAGACTTGCATCCAGACCTGCAAGGCCCTGTGTCTGACTAGCCCAGCAGAGCACACCAAGAGAAAACGGCAGCTCTTTCTAGTTTGGGCAGAGACTGCAGCCTAGCCCACTGGTCTACCCTGCCTTGGCTAGCTTGAGAGCCCAGGGAGCCTAGGATTCCTGGCCTGAGGGCTGAGGTGTTGGCCCTCCAGGCCTGGGTCGGAGGCCCGCCTGCCCATACCTGGTGCCGTAGTCTGGGCAGCGCACACATACCGCCGCATACTTGTTGAGGATGGGCTGCACATACTCTTGGCCCTGCTCCACGATGGCTGGGTCTGGCAGTTGTCTGGAAGGACAGGGGTGTGGTCCCTGTCCATCAGCTCCTCAGCTGCCCCTGCTGTGGCTGGGCAGAGCCATTCAGGCTGCAATAGCATCTCATTTCCTACTCCGCCCCCCTCCCCCAGCCTCTGATGTGGACCGAGAACCCATTTTCCTGTTTCAGGACCTCAAGTCCCTGCCCACCCTAACACTTGCAGATGCCATCACTGAGTCCAAGTCTCTGGGCAGTCAGCTCCTCTAGCCAGGGCCCCTGGCATGGGCTGGCCCAAATGGCTTTCCAAGGACTATGGAGCCCTGCACACAGGAGGGCCTAGTACTCAGCGCTCCCCATGCTCTGTTTGTCTGACACAATGGAGGTCCAGTTGGAGCACTGCTGGGCTGAAGGGGGTTTCTCCAGAGAGGACACAGTGCCAGCCCTTGGGGGTTGTTCCCACTCCTCTGAGGGACCCGAGTGGGAAAGGTGGGAGCTGCAGCATGTGGAGCATCTACAGAACCTGCGTGGGGTGACTGCAGCCAAGTGTGGCTGGGCCGGACTGGGCTAGAGAAACCTCCAGAAAAGGGTGAGTGAGGGTAGGGGATGGGGGAAGTTTGAAGCACAGACTTGGCTTAGCAAGTACCAAAGCTAAGAGAAGGGAAGGGGGTCAAAGGCAGGGAGGGTCCTTAATGATTGTTTTCCTGTAGTTACTCTGTACATTGTGGGACCCCTGGGAAACCCAGGAGAAGACCATAGGGCAGACAACGAGGAGCTACGGGATGAGGAGGGGGCCACTGGGGGCTTGGCTCAGGGAGGAGTAGGGCATGCCCAGACCTGCCTTCTGAATAGGTCCCCAGGGGCAGTGGGCTGGGTGGAGTGGACCTGGGAGATCCAGTCAGGATGGTAGCCTAGCCTGGAGGGGGAAGGCAGAGAAGCAGGTGGAGGCAGCACTGTCTGTCTGGGCAAGCACTGTGGCCCCACTGGGAAGACACAGGCTACAGTGAGTGGCACCAGGACAAGTACCCAGTAGGAGAATGTTCCTCACACCCACAGTGGCCCCAGAAGGGGGGATTCTTTCACTCCAATCTGTGACATTCCACTGGAGGTGGTTCATGGCCAGGTGACTGTCACAGTCAGACCCCAGACCTGATCTAAAGGGAGCTGGTCTTTTCTGTGGTTGGTTCTGCTACTCAGTGCTCACTAAGCACTTGGACCTTTCTGGAATCTTCCACTAGTCTTCCAGCTCCTCTCAGCCCCACATGATCTGATTGCACCCTCCAGGACCTCCCAGCTTCCCAGCAGGGAAGCTTGCAGCTACTTCACCTCTCCATCCTACACAAACCTCCCCTGTGCTGGGGACTAGATATGGATAAGGGTGAGGGGTGCAGTTTTGGCTGAAAAAGTAGGCCTTGGGAGACTCCACACAGGTGCTGGGCTGGAGCTTAGGGGGAGGGGAGAAGGGACCCTGCCTTTGTTTGCTGGGTCACTCCTGTCAGGGCAGCCAGGAGCCCCAGGAAGCACTTGCTGGGCCACCTCCAGATCACCTATTGCTGCTCCCAAAAGCCCCAGTACCCACCCACCCCAAATGTGCTCACTTACGCCTCCTCGTTGTTAAGCACGCTGAGGAGCTGGGCAATGAGGGCGTCCTTGGACAGAGTCTGGCTCTGCTCCACAATCTCCTGGAAGAGCCGCTTCCCAAAGCTCAGTTTCCGCCACGGCGTGTCCAGCAGGGCATTGCTTAGCCCATAGATGCCTGTGAGAAGCAGGGTCAGCCTGGCCAGCACATGGCAAGTTGACTTCAGGGTGAATGCCCAAGACCCCCAGTTTATAGGGCTTTCAGCCAGGCTTGTGTGAAGGGAGTGCCAGGGGAACAGCCCAGAGCAGTAGGCAGATGCAGACCAGGTAGAGGCTGAGGCCGCCCACCCACCTGTGCCTTGACCACACAGCGAGCCAGGAGCACAGAAGCCAACAATCTGGAAGGTCTAAGGAGACCGTGGGTGAGCAGGTGAGGGAAGAGGGCTTGTCCTGAAAACTAGCTAGCAATGCACAGCAGGGTCCTCAGGAAGGAGCCCAGATAGGTGGCCAACCTATCCCTTGCCCCAGTATCTCACTCCCATGTCTGTCTGTCAATCCATCCATGCATCCATCTACTCACACACCCATCCACTTATCTACCTACTCACCCATCAATCTGTCCATCCATCCACCCCGCACCCATCTACTCCTTCACCCTCCAAGCAGGGCCCGCCCATCCATCCATCCATCCATCCCTGCCTCTCCTTATTTAACAAGAAAAAAACTATCTAGTGTACATCCGTCTAAAAAGGTGAAAAGTCAAGGGTGGGAGAATCAGAAACCCAAGGCCAAAAAGGCCACCACTTGGGGTCAATCCCAGGTTGGTGATTACAGAAACTGGCAAACATCAGGGACATATTCCTACCCCCACTCCCACCCCGCCAAGTAGGCATGGGCAAGGACTCAGTGAAAACAGAGTCCAGCCTCCCATTGCCAAGTGGAGTATCCTAGATCAAATGGTGTCCAGATCAAGGTCTCACACATGTTAACAGAAAATGGTATTTATCTTGAAAGAACAAAAAAAGGTAAACAGCATGAACTTGAGTTGGCCAGGTATCAGTGCATAGGCCCAGAGTCTCTCTTTGAAGGGAGGTGCTGCTTTGTTGGCTTGAGCAGCCCCCCACCCTGTTTGTCCAAGCACTGAGGGGACTCACCTGGAGTGAGAACTATGGGCTCAGGCTGCCCTCGGTTTCCATAGTAACACATAACGTCTCCCTTGGCTGTGCTGCGGGTGAATGAGAGGAAGGGATCAGGTGGGCCCTCAGTCTGAGCCAGGAGCCTGACTCGGCAACCACCTGGGAAAAGCCAGCCCACCTCCACCTCTGCCTCTCAGGCAGGCTCTCGTCCAGTGTCACAGGGGACCACTGGCTTGGGAGGTGGCAGCATATCAAAAGCCCTCCTGCCTAGCCCAATTCCCTCCAAGTGTGGGTCCCGCCTGGCTACAACAGCAAAACCCATGGAGGAGACAGGCCTATGACCTCCGGAGTATTGCTCACCAATGGGGTATAAGCAGCTGCCTATAAACTACCAGGCGGCACCTGGCTCAATCCTATTCAACAGCGTCTACATCCCACTGAGTCCCTCCCCCTGGAGGAGCCCTGGCAGATGGGGGCACCATGGACACCTACCCCGGAGGCACCTCTGGCCTCCAGCTGTGCTTGCTGGTGATGGTTGCATTTTAATATCATTTAAATTTCTAAAGAGCTGAAGATGTTCTATTTCCTTCATACCAGCTAACACTGGACACATCTTCCCTTCTGGAGCAGCAAATGCAGGGCAAGGAGCAGGTACAAGTCAGACAGGGGCCTCCGGTCCCTTCTCCTTCCTGCTGATCTGCCTGCAAGCAGGGCCCATGTTCCTGCCCCATCCCTTGCACCCCCAGCCCAAGTTTTGACCCCCTTTTTCCTCAGCTGATCCTTGGTTCCTTTCTTGTTAACTAGTGGCTGTTAATTTAGGAGGTTTTTCTTACAAGAAGAAAGCTTGAGTTCATGTGGACGCGTGGCAGTGATGCCACTGCATGCCAACTGAGAGGAACTGACCCAGGCTGCGGCTGTGAGCTAGGGTACCATCCCTCCCCTTGGAACCTGGGCTTCGTCACCAGCACCCTATCCAGGCTGCATGGCTGCCGCCAGCCTTCACAAGCTGTCTCCAGGGAGATGGAGCCCTCCTTTGCATCCTTGGAGATCTCGTCTCCTAGGGGACCTGCAGAAGCCTCATGTCCACTCTGAGGGAGCACCTGGGTGCCTGAAGTCCCTCTACCCAGCACCGACTCCTGCCAGTGGGACAACCTCAAGGTACCCCTTAGGGGGAGAACTCTTGGGAACAAAGGAGCATGGGCTCTGCTGTCTAGTGAGTGGACTAGCCAGGAAGAAAGCACCCTGGCAGGGAGTGCCTGTGTGCAGAGGACCCACCTCCCTTCCCCTCTGTCCTTGGCTCTGTCCTGTGGTGTACCACACGCCAACCAGCAGGGTAGGATCTGATCCCTCCACCTACTGGGCCTGCAGCACGGAGCTGGGGGTGCACTCAGGCAACCCCACTGCTATCAAGTTTATTCTGACTCACAGTGACCCTACAAGATAGAGTAGGATTACCCCATAGAGTTTTTGCAGGTGTAAATCTTCAAGGAAGCAGACTCCCTTGGAATGCCTGATGAGGGTGAGCCAGCAACCTCAAGGTCAGCAGTCCAGTGCTTAACCCACTATACCACTAGGGTGCCTGATCCCACCATAACCCCAAACTCACAGCCATTCTGACTCCAAGTCACCCTCTAGGACAGAGTAGAACCATCCCATCAGGTTTCCGAGGCTGACAACTTGATCTTTCTACTATGGTGGGTTCGAACCCCTGGGCCTTGCGGTCAGCAACCCAACACTCAACCCATGTGCCACCAAGATCACAAAAGAAAACAAACCCATTGCTCTGGGGTCAATTTAGACTCAGAGTGACCTGACAGGACTGCTCCACAGGGTTGCTAAGACTGCCCGTCTTTATGGAAGCAGACAGCTCATCTTTCTCTCAAGGAGCTGCCAGTGGGTTCAAACTACTGACCTGTCATACAGAGCCTGCTGCACTACCAAGGCCCCATGTGCTGGGCCAGACCTACCTTAAATCAGCCGTGATCAGATTGAAGCCGTTGTACAAGTGCCCCTCTGTGGAGATCTTCTTTAGGTAGGACAAGCTGTCTATGTCATTGGTCAGGAAGTGGGCGGCCAGCTCACCTGTGGGTGGGGAGCAGGCACCCGTGGCTGAGACTGCAGGGAGAAGCTGAGCCCTTCCCTGCAGGAAGACTGATGGGGACCCTGAGGGAGAAGCTATCAGAGACGCAACCAGAGATCTGGTGTCAGGCTGACTGCCACCCTGGCTGGGCAGGGAGATGCCATGACCATTCAGTGTCTGGTGGTCTGCTTTGATTGTCCCTCCCACTGTGCCCACACTGGAAACCCAGCCTAAGACACACAGCAGTCTCTGAGGGAAGTATTCATCTACAGAGCAGAGCTCTCAGGACATCAGTTCTAGAAATATCAAGGACATCCACAACCCAGCCAGTGGGTGAGGGAGGGCAGCCACAGCCGTCAGGAAGAAGCTTGGCTTGGACACCATGTGGAGGGCACTCTGAGAGGCATGACACATCATCTCAGACAAGGGACAGTATCCTAGAAGCCTCAACTGCAGGCTGCCTGTCCCTCCACACTGCCCTGGGTACCTACCTCTGCCCCGGGCATCCCTGTCCAGCCTCGGCTGCAGGTAGTTGGTGAGTGCCGCCAGTTTGCCCCGCGTGCTGATGCCAAGCCACGTCCCGCCTTCCTTCCCTTCCTCCATGTCCAGCCCTGCAGTGGACAGTGGTGTCACCATCAGCAGTGCCCAACAGGTGGCACCAGCCCCAGTCTCGTTCCCCTACCCCAAGAGTAGATGCAGCTCAGCCCAGCGCCTGATTTTTTAAAGACATAATTTCAATCCGTAACAGGTCAAGTTGAAGCTTCCGGTCCAGGGGCCATGCTTTGAGAAGCCCTGGCCTCACATCCCGCACACAGGGTTCACTGATGGCATCTTCTAGCCCCAACCTGCATGCAGTGGACCCTGGGCACCCCCGGTGAGGTAAGACAGTGTCCCCATGTCACTAGGCTGTTGCTAGCTGCTGCTGCATTGGCCCTGACTCATGATGGTGGGGAGAACATAAGGCTATTCCATCTGGCACCATCCCAAATAGTTGTGCATCAGAGCACTGGAGTCCACAGGGCTGTCACTGGCTGATTTGGGGGAGACCACCACTCAGTCTTGGTCCCCAGTCTGTCTTGGTCCAAAAGCTCTTCTGAAACCTGCTCAAAACCATAACGACACACTGAGAGTATAGGAAGTGGCTGAGTGAGAATCAAACCCACATCTCTTGCCTGGAAAGTGAACCAGCACTGCCTTAGTCGCTAGGAGACAGACACTGCTGAGTGGCGGGTAGGCTGGTCATCTCAAAATCAGTGCAAAGAATGAACAATTCTGTGCACCCGAAGCTCCTCCTCAGCTGGGAGCAGCACAGATGGAAGAGCAGGGTGGGAGGTGCCTCATCTACAAAAATCAATGTAACAATATCACGAGGTATCTCCTGCTCACTGCCCGCCTTGCAGTTCTCATTTCCTCTTCTGAGGCCATCAGTCCCTTGGCCCCTGACCAGACACTTTCAGAAGGATGTCTCCTCAGCTGCAGGGCAAATCAGTCTTTCCAGCATCCTCATGACCTCACTCCTGTGAGGTCAAGGTTGGTGTCAACTTGACTGGGCTAAGACTCTCTGTGGCTGGGCCCTTATGATGTCATCGTCCCTCATGACGAGACCGGATCTAATGGAATCACCTTCCATGATGGGCTGTGCTATGGGCAGCCAAACAGCAGAAAGGGGGTGTCTTCACAGGTGGAGCCTGCTTCCAATAGATGTGGAGATTTTGGCAAGGCTTGTGAGCAAGGCCAGGTTGAATAAAGAAATAAATCCAGTGACACTCATATATGTGCAAGAGAGCTTTATATCAAGAATTAATTATATATCAGAAAAACACCCCAGCCCAGTCCAGATCAAGTCCACAAGTGCAATCCTAGTCCATAAATCCAATGCTAGTCAATAATCTCTCTTCAGACTCACGCAGCCACATGCAATGATGCGAAACGCAGGAGGATCACAGGCCGGTGGATGTAGATCAATGGCGGTGTCTCTGGCAGCTCTCTGAGTGATTTGACAGTAGGAAGATGAAGCAGAAAGAGGAAGAAGTTCCCAGGACCTTCCATATGAGAAGGCCATGCCCACAAAGAGGCACCATCAGACTGTGACCTGATTGATAAGCTAAGCCTCCACCCCTACACTTCAAGGTGACACAAAATTATGTCATTCCCACAGCTTGCTTGTTTTGCTGGGTCTGGATTCTGCACCTGGCTGGCTGACTGACATGCAGTCCTTTGGACTTGAGCCAAAGGCCTGCCACATTGCTCGCAGACCTTGGAGTTATTCACCTCGACAGCCAACAGCCTGCTATGTAACCTTCCTATCTTGCCCATCAGCCCTTGCAGCTACATGAATCAGGACAAGCCTCCAGCCTCCATTTGACTCATGGAATTGACACTTGCCAGCATCTACAACTGTATGAGCCATTTCCTTGAGATAATCCTCTCCCACCCCAGCCCCCCACACCTGTATGTAAACTTTATTGATTTTGCTTTTGTGCAACATTGAACATAAGACAACTCCCCAGGCATTGTATGTGTGTATAAGAGATATCTTCTGCCTAAACTTCACAACTCAAACAAGTTCGGAATTACTATTTTGTTGTTGTACTTGCCAGTGAATCAGCTCCAACTCACAGTGACCCTATATACCAGGGGTCCTCAAACTTTTTAAACAGGGGGCCAGTTCACTGTCCCTCAGACCCGTTGGAGGGCCGGACTATAGTTAAAAAACAAAACAAAAAACCAACTATGAGCAAATTCCTTTGCTCACTGCACATATCTTATTTTGAAGTACAAAACAAAATGGGGCAAAAACACCCAGCAGCCTGGATAAATGTCCTCGGTGGGCCGCATGTGGCCCGTGGGCCATAGTTTGAGCCATAGTTAGAGGACGTCTGTTATATACAACCAAATTAAACTTCTTGGCCCTATGCCATCCTTACAATTGTTACATTTGAGCCCACTGTTGCAACCACTGTGTCAATGTATCTCGAGGGTCTTCCTTGTTTTCCGCTGATCCTCTTATTGCCAACCATGATGTCTTTCTTCAGGGACTGTTCCCTCCTGATACATGTCCAAAGTATGCTGTGGTGGTCACATAATTTCATGTTAACTTGATAAATAAGTGTAGGGGTGGAATCTAGCCTGTCAATCAGGTCACAGCCTGCTGCTGCCTTCTTGTGGGTGTGGCCTTCTCATGAGGAGTCTGGGTCCTCTCTCTCCCTCTCTCTGCCTTCATCTTCCTGTTTACAGGTTTACAAGCCATGAGGAGACCTGCTGAGAACTGGAAGTGCTCTCGTTCTCTCTGCTTCAACTTCCTGCTGTTGAGACACTCAGAGAGCTGGAGGATCCATGTGGAGACCTGTGCCAGAGCTGAGATGCTTCCACCACCAGCAGATCCACAAAACTTTGCATCCACCAGCCTGTGATCTTCTTGCATTTGGCATCGTTGCATGTGTTGAGTGAGTTTGAAGAGGAATTTATGGACTAGTATTGGACTAATGGGCTAATATCGGACGTATGGACTTGATCTGGACTGGGCTGGGATGTTTTCTTGATATACAATTAATCTTTGGTATAAAGCTCTCTCTTGCAAGTATGGGTGTCTCTGGATTTGTTTCCCTAGCCTAACCCAGCCTAACACATGTGTGAAGCAAAGCCTTGTCTCACCATCCTCACTTCTAAGGTGCATCTTGGCTGTAGTTCTTCCAAGCTAGATTAGTTTACTCTTCCAGTAATCCAAGATATAGTCAATAGTCTTCACCAACACCATAAAGAAGAATGCATCAATTCTCTAATCTTCCGTAGACCACTACCCAGTTTCCACATGTATTTGAGGTTATTGATCAAGCCTATGGCCTGGGTCAGGCCCACCTTCATCCTCAAAATGACTCTTTGCTCTTTAAAGAAATCTGTGATGAAGATTTGCCCAATATAACATGTCATTTGTTTTCTTGACTGCTGCTTCCATGGGTATTGATTGTGGATCCAAATAAAATGAAATATTTTAAAACTATCAGCATCACAACACACAGGGCATTGCTAACAAGGCAAATGGTGGCTGCTTGGGACTCAAACTCAAGTCCCCTGCATGGAGCCTTTCCTGTCCCATGCTGTCAGTGGGGGCCTATCTTGGGTTCACCAGTCCCTGTCCAAATGGGCCAGGGAAGGGGCAAAGGGCCCCGGAGAGCCTGAGGAGCAGCTTCCCTGGACCCATAAGGCCACACCTAGACTGGCTGGTACCCTGGAGTTCTCTGTCAGATCTGCCAGTGTTTGCCTAACAACTGGAGAACAAGCCAGTCAGCGGGACCCGTGGTCTGGCCAGGGTGTCCATGCAGCCCACCCTGTACACTAGAACTGCTTGCTATCTATGAGAGATGGCCATTTGCTAGGGCAGGAGACCCAGCTGTCACTTCCATTCATTCCCAAACACCTTGGGAAGCACAGGTACCCGGCATCTAACTGGTCACCAGAAGGTGCACCATCCAAGCCGTTGCTCTCCAGACTGAGGCCCAGACCTCCCTGGAATGAGGGCTACTTACACATTTGTGTAGGCATGTATGTAGATGAAAACACACACAACACCGACACTTTACAAAATGACTGGTTTGCACCCCTTAGAAAGTCAGCCCTGTGAACTTTCGAGAAGTAAATGAAGAGCCCTGGTAGTGCATTGCTAACTGAAAGGTCAGCAGTTCAAACCCACAAGCCACTCCTTGGGAGAAAGAGGCAGCAGTCTGCTTCTGTGAGATACTGACAGTATTGAGCCACCCTGGGGAGCTGTCTTACTGTGTCTACTAGGGTCACAGCCATGGAGCTGTCTATAGGGTTTCTGAGACTGTAGATCTTCATGCGAGCTGACAGCCTCATCTTCCTCCTGTGGCAGCTCAATGCTTAAGCCACATTACCACCAGGGCTTCCATGACTCATTGGTAATGTGTTTTAAAGGATAAACAAAACAGAGTGTGTACAATGGAATCGCCCCAAACCAACCTCACGACCATGGAGTCGATCCTATGAGACAGGGGAGAATTACCCTTGTGGGTTTCTGAGACTGTTACTGTTGACAGAAGTAGAAAGCCTCGTCTTTCTCTCCAGGAGCAGCTGGTTGGGTCCAACTGCTGACCTTTGGGTTAGCAGCTCAACACTAGCCTGCACTTGCCACACAGCTCCTTCATGGAACATCACTCGGCTGTAAAGCAACATGAAGTCTGACTCATGCCATCCCCTGGATGAATGTGAAGCAAAAGAGAGTCCGGGGAAGATGCAAATTGTATGAAATGAAGCAGCCAGAGGTTGTTAATTAATGGTTACTAGAGGTGGGGGAGGGGGGAAAGGGCTTTGTTTGGGCGGGGCACAAAGTTTAGGTGAAGAGGGTAGGTGAGATGGTGACACGTGTGAAAAGTGCCATCAGGGTGGCTAGAGTTGTCGGTGTGGAAGCTGCTGTGTCAGCCACATTTGGGGGTGTTTGTTTTCACCACACAGATGTTAGAGGCAACAATAAGAACTGGCTGAAGACTCTGCAGAGCAGATCTGTTTCCCAGTGAGATGGGTTTGGTTTAGTTTCATGCCACTGAGGGCCATCCCTACCGTGAAGCATCCCTCCTCCCACCTCTCCTCCCTGTGCTTCCTGCTTCCACTCTCCTCTCTCCTCGCCCTGCTGAACTTGGTCCTGGGGTCAATGCTGACACCACCACCCCCAATCTCTAATGGTTGACATGCTAAGGTGTGTGTACCTCCCAAGCTTTATCGTTCCCCTTATAACCCTGTCTGAAGGAGCCCCAATGCCCATGTGGTTACATGTTGGGATGTGTAACCCAGCAGTTCGAAACCATCAGCGACTCCTCAGGACAAAAGAGACACTTTCTATTCCCGCAAAGAGTTACAGTCACAGAAACCCCCAGGGGCAGCTCTACCCTGTCATATAGGATCGCTATGATTCCACGGAAGTGAGTTTGGTTTGAGTTACGGGCCTGTCTATTGTTTGGCTGAAAATTGAGCCACGGAGGTGAGGTGAATTCTAGACCTGACAGGTGACTAAGGGCCATCATCTCCAGGGTTCCACCAGTCTCTATTTGATCAGTGATCTTGGTCTTTCTTCTCATTTTGAATTTTGTTCCACAAGTCTCTCCAGCTCTATCCAGAATCGGCCGATGGGATCCCTTTCAGTGGATCGACTGCTCCTTCTGGAACCCCACTGGAAGACCCCCAGGGACCGGGGCTCAGGATACCACATGGCCTGTGCCTGGTGGACAATTGGGGGATGGCCAAGGCAGGCACCACTGGCCTAGCTTGGGCCCCAGACCCATGGGAGACTCAGCTTCCCTGCGCCTACCCTCATATTCTGTGTCTCCTTAAGAACCAGTCAAAACGGACTGGGAAGCTCTCCCCCGATTCAAGTTTGTCCACCAGGCCAGGTGCCAGTGATGCCACATGACACAGCCCCAGAAATGGAGGCACAAGTGACTTACCACTGAGGATCTCATTGTTGGTCCCCCAGAAGTCGGCTCGCTTGGAAAGGCGGTGGTAGAACTCATCTCGGTTGGCTGCTAGGATGAGCCTGAAAGGAGAAAGCTCCCAGAATAAAACAGAAGCAAACCCCCCAAATAAAACAAACGTGGACACATGACTCAGCACTTGACCACGGGCAAAATGGTGGGGGTCTGAACCCACCTACAGGATCCTCTGAATAGGCCTGGCCATCTGCTTCCAAAAGGTCACACCCTCTGCGCTGTCTTAATATTCCCTTCTCTACGTACTATCTCTGGGGTCATTGCAATGGCTACCCAGGAACTCACTGACACAGCTCCAGATGAAAGGGCTTCTTTAGGAAGTCTAACAAGTTGTCAAGCCGGGGCAGCCAGTGAGAAACACTCAGGGCTGAGTTGTTTCTCCGGACAGGTTACAAAGTTCTGGCAAGTCTGTTAATAAATGGCCAGAGGGCGTACCACTCTGCTGTAGGCCTCATTCAACTAAAGCTCTGTGAGTCAGCAAACCCAGCTCCTTGAATTAAGTGCCCAGGGACACCCCGCTCCAGTCAGCCTCACCCTGAAGATACTCAGCTCCATTTCCATGAGTCAGCAAGTCCACCTCCCCCAGTGAGGGCTTGGGGGCACCCCACTCCATCAGCCAACCCCGCACAAAAGCACTCAGGTTTACTTGCTCCGTGGGCTGGGAAGTCCATCACGCTGTTCCACGCCCTGATCCCTGCTTCTACTCCTATGATGGTAGAACTATCATCTGGATCCAAATGGTTCACTACATGAGGATCTCGGGTCCAGAAGTTACGCCCCTCTCCGAGCTCTTGCTGGTAATGAAGCTCCTGCTTCTCAGAGGGCTCATTTTATACACAGCAGGATGGCTCTCTAGGGAAACCTGTTTGCAATTGCTCACAGGTGGTCCTATCAGACTCACCAGACCCATGCAGGGAAAGGTTGCTAGGACATTTTGGCTCAGAGGAGTGACTTAAATAATGAAATAATGCGTTGCCCCTGCAACCCTGAAACACCTATGAAGCAGTTCTACTCTGTCCATGTGGCGCTGCCATGAGTTGAAGCCAACTGGAAACCTCGAATGCCAAGAAGAAAATCAAAACAGGCACTGCGCTGCACAAACAGGCCACAGGCCCACAGATACCCGCCCCACCTCCAGTTCCACGGGACAAGGGGCTGCAGCAACCCCAGCAGGTCACCCTGGGCATGTCCCTCATCCACCTGGAATGGTGGTTACCAAGCATGCCCCGGGCCCACCACAGATGCCCCTCACACACCCTGAATACATCCAGCAGGGGGCTACGAGATACTTGGAAAAGCAAACACACCCATCATACACACCCAGTGGCCAGTGAGAGGGCACGCCCCCACCCCACCCCACCCCGCAGCATGTGCTGGACTGTTTGGGGTGGGCGTGGTGTTCTCTGTATTTTTCTGTTTGCATTGTGAATGAAACAAGCATCTCCTTCATAATTCTAATTGCTAGGTAGCTAGCATAGGGGCTGGGGCGTGCATTATGCATGTTCAGAGGTTTGAGGTCTAGCCAGGAAGGGGAGGTACATCTGGGTGGGCGCTGCACCTGGATTGGCCCACCTAGGCCAGGTGAATTCAATTCAGCCAATGAGGTCGACCAGGGCCGTCCACCACGCCTCCCCTTGGAATACTTGAAAAAGGCAGGAGGCAGAGCCGACCATGTGACTTTCAGACCAGCTTCTAGGGAGGCTGCATGAGGTGAGGGGCTCTGCGGGTGCCTGTGTAAACCTAAAACTTCTCTCATAAAACCCACTTGGATCACAAACCAGGCTTCGTATATCTCGCCCCCGAGAGATCTAACCGCACCTGACATCAAGTAGGTTCAGAATCCATAGCCACCCCATGCCCAATGGAAGCAAGCATACCTGGTCCTGCACCATCCTCACAATGCTAGGTAGATTTCAGACCATGGCTGCAGCCTCTGTGTCAATCCACCTCCTCAAGGGCCTTCCTCTTTTTCACTGCCTCTCTAGTTTACTGTGAGGACTAAGGTACACCTGATTCAAGCCTTTGTATTTTCCCATTGCCTCGCATGCATGTGAAAGTTGGACATAGAATAAGGAAGACCAAAGAAGAATTGATGCATTTGATGCAGAAAAATATTAAAAGTACCATGGACTGACAAACGAATAAACCAATCTGTCTTGGAAGAAGTAAGGCTAGAGGGCTCCTTAGAAGCAAAGATGGTGAGAGACTTCCTGTTACATACTTTGGACATACTAGGAGAAACCAGTTCCTAGAGGACATCATGCTTGGTAAAATGGGGGGGCAGCGAAAGGGAGGAAGGCCCTCAACGAGCTGGACTGACACTGGGGCTGCCTCAATGGGCACACACACAAGAACAAGTGTGAGGATGGGGCAGGACCACGCGTGTTTCCTTCTGTTGTGCATACGGTTGCAATAGGTGGGAGCTGACCTGATGGCACCTAACAATAGCTCTACTTTACCAAGCAGGATAGCCGTTTCCAAGAACCATTCCCCCCAGAGGAGGTGAAGATACTAACGTTTCAAGAATCCTGCTTTTGCAATATTCCTGGGTGGTGTCAGCAGTTTGCACCTGGCTGTTAATCGAAAGGTGGGCAGTTCGAACCCACCTGGTGGTTCCACAGAAGAAAGGCCTGACACTCTGTTTACGAGAAGATGACAGCTGAGAAAACCCTAACGGGATGGTTTAACTCTATAACAGGGGTGGGTGGGATCCACCAGACAGCCATAGGCATGGTGCTTTTGTTTTGCTTACATTTTGCTGCAGGAACCGATCTGAGCTTTGCTGTTATTTTAAAATACTGTTAAATAAGAACAAACCGGACAGTGCCCCAGCTCGCCCACTCGCTGTGTAATCAGAGGATAAGTGTTTGCCATCTGAAAGGGCACATTTTCCCAGGACAGCATGAAACAGGAATGCCATCTAAGATAAGCTCTACGGAGCCAGTGAGTTCAAGTTGGGCTGCTAAGCCCAGGGCAGTGGTTGTTCAAACTCACCAGCCACTCTTCAGGAGAAAGATGAGAGTGTGTGCTGTCATCAAGACTGACAGCTGGGGCACCCCTAGGGAGCAGTTCTACTGGCCTCAAAGGTCCCTGTGAGCTGGGATGGACTTGAGGTCAGGTAGTAGTATTCAAGTCCTGGGACCCCCTTGGAGGGGAGGGGCACCCAGAGCACGTCAGGAAGGACAGGCTGGGGGAGAGCAGTTAAGCAGAGAGCGCATATAGTGGCAGGGCTGACAGCTGTGAGCCTGAAACAGAGGGTGGGTCCCAGGGGAGGCCCTAAGCCATGTGTGGAGGGCATTTTTGCATGGAATGTTTGGAGTTAAGGAGTCAGCAGTTACCCAAGACCACCTCGGCTGAGACCACGACTGTGAGCATTCACCACCCCACCTCACCCAACTCTACTCTGCCTCAGGCCCTGCCTGGAGCCAGCTCTCAAAAGAGTAGTACCAGGTTTATGGAGGTGCTCCCAGGGTGTCACTCTGCCCCTGACAGGAGCCACAGTCATCCCAGAACTACTTGTCTCAATGTCACTGCCAAATTCTGGTCAGAATACTGACCCGTGATCTGTGGGGGGTGGTGAAGCCCACGTGAAGGAGAGGGTCTGAAGGCAAAGCTAGCTGAGTTGTAAGCCCAGCACAGTCCACCTGTCATGTCTACTGTCCCTTCTGCAGGGAAGCATCACTCGGGGACAGGGAAGGGTCTCCTCCCCATGTCCTCTGTCAGTATGCCCCACGAACTGTTGTGTCCCATTGCCAGCAAAACGTGCAAGCCATTCTGCTGGGCTAGTCTTCCTCATTCATAGTCCAAGTTTCCAATACATATGAGGCTAGCTGAACACACCATGGGGAGGGCAGATGCACCGTGGTGTTTAAAGCGACATCTTGGCTATTGGACACGTTGAAGAGGTCTTGTGCAGCAGATTCTCCCAATGCAGTAAGTCAAGTAAGTAACTCCCAATGCAGTTTCACATGGTCCCAGGCAAACATTTCCTTTTATTCCAATATCTCTAAACAGCCAAGGTCAGTGGGCAGTCAGGGAGGTAGGTAGGACAGTCTCTAATGCCCCCACGTGGCCAAGGGAATCTCTTCTGGTTGCAGCCCACAAAAGGCCTGTGCTTCTGGTTCTCAATATTTCCTTCTTCTTTATACCAAAGCAGCGCAGGAGTCCTGGTGGTATAGTGGCTACGTGTTGGGTTGCTAACCTCAGGGTCAAGCAGTTTGAAACCACCAGCTACTCCATGGGAGAAAGAAGAGGCTTTCTACTCCTACAAAGATTGACAGTCTTGGAAAACTCACAGAGGCAGGTCTACTCTCTGTGCTACAGGGTTGCTGTAAGTCAGAATCTCCTTGATGGATGTGAGTGTTGAGTTTCATACACAGCAGATTATACACCAGTCCAACAATGTCTATAGGCACCATTCAGTGACATCGGTGACATCCTTGAAGCTGTGGAATCATTCCTGCCTTGCTCTTCCAAACCTTCCCACTGCCATTTAGAGAACTCAGTGCCCACCCGTCATTTCTCATCTATTTGGCTCTGAGCCATGTGTAAGGTTGGGTGATGAGGGGGTGGGAGACACGGGACAAAACAGCAATCACGGAGAAGCTGACTGTGCATCCTATGGCATTTACTCGTCTATTTTTTAACACAAGGAGCGGCACGTGTGCTGACTTGATGGCTCGGGAACACTAATTGCTGTTATTTTTTTTAATCGTTTTATTAGGGGCTCATACAACTCTTATCACAATCCATACATACATCAATCAATTGTGTAAAGCACATTTAAAATATTTTTCCCTGTTACTCAGTTTTTTTAAGCCAATCTCTTTTATTACATTGTTTTATTTAATAGTTTTATTAGGGGCTCATACAACTCTTATCCACAAAATTGCTGTTATTTTTATCACAGGAGTTGTCATCCCATTGAATGGCTTGTGGCTTACCAGCGCTTTTGTGAAACTTAGGGCCCTAAGAAGGGACACAGAAGTGATTCCCCTCAAAGCCATTGCCTTTTGGTGCCTCAACTGGAACACAGTCTGTCTATGTG